ATTCACAATTAATTCTGAGTTAAAATTTGATGAGAAAAATGCCAAAAAACTGCCAAAAAGTTCGAATAATTCGATAAAAAATGTAGAAAAATATACAATTGAAAAAAGTATTGATCCCTGTTTCATTCTATTCGCTTGTTATAGGCTTTTGCCATRTATGGAATACTTACTACAAACTCGCCTCTGTAGTCAAGAGAATTACAGGAACCAAAAAACACACACTGAGGTACAGTGTCGAACAACGGTTTGATTAAGTTTTGAGTGTATTTTTGCGTTATTTGATTTCGTTTTTTTTTCTTTTATTTTYTTTCACGTATAAGAAAGAAGGGACATTAGAGGATTACTGACAGCAATTTCAAAGAATAATGTTGTTTTTTTTTTGTTGATGAAAAAAGTCGGAGCTATGAGCGACAAAWATAATAGACAGGGAGGGAACTGGGATCGAGATATTAAATTGTTTTTRTCTTCACATTACGGYATACACCATCCACCAAAATATTCGATTATCGCGGAGAAAAACTCAATTCTCACGGATTCATTTGTTTGGTGTCTATATTATAAATTAAATTGTTATTACTTTCTCATGTACTCCTCGGATGAATACAGCTATTTCTCTTCAAATGTACAAGTTCGGTTTCATTGCTTATTGAGATTTGGTTGTTATGACAACAMTGKAACACGCGCAGGATTTCTTTTTGTATTTCGCGCATACGAAACGCRTARACAACMGAATTRACGAGMGAGTTGCCATAATGAAGGAATTTTGCACAATAGTAAAAGAAAGCAGACKTTTTGTAATCAATAACTATCATGACTGGTGAAGGCAACCACATGACCAGGCTAACAATGGTAACCACAGCAACAGTAACAGTCAGTTTCTTGTTCTCCTGGATATTCACATCATGATGAATAGCTTGACCAGCTGTGCAACGGACTTTTAGAAGAATGAGAGAATAAGCAGCAGAAATGATCACAAGTGTGCACCCAATAACGACTATAATGGTATTGTCAACAATTCTCTCTTCCACGTAAAATATGTATAGACCTGCCACGAAAGATGGAGTTATCCACACTAAAACTATCCCGATGATGAACGGTCCTTTACCTAATGTRGAGTGTCTGAATGGRAAGTATGTTGCATGTGCTCGTTCAATGGCCAACGCTGCYAGACCAAATAAGGAAGCTCCTCCAAAGAAAGTTTCTTGWATATGGAAATCTCGACCAATTGAGGATGAGTAAGCCTCGTGGTCGCCTTGCTGGATTATCGACCAAGCAGTAAACATGGGSACAGAAACTAGACCAACGAAGAAATCAGCTACAGACTGGCTGAYAATCATAATGTACTGTTTGCTGTGAAGACGGCGTGTTCTGGTGAATATGACGATTATTGCAGCATTTGCCGTAGAAATTACAACTGCTTCCAGTACGAATACCCAAGCAAARGTCCACATTATAGAACGATGGCAATGCCACACAGGTCGATKTGAGAAACAAAGCATAAATGGCCGGCAGAAACAGCTGTCATTAATGGCTCACATTTTGTTTGAWCTCTGATGAAAATTCATAAAAGTGCTGCAAACAGTGCAACTTGGAATTGTCAAATTCATATCAATTAAAAAAACTCATTTCCAAGCTACGACTAAACAAGACTAATAAAATCAAAATTGAATTCACATGACAATAGATGTCAGATCAAGCTAAAAGCGAGTTTAAAGCTGAACAGTCGTCTTAAAGTTATTGCTACGAAACTTGCACTTATTAATTCCCGCTCGAAAGATGATGATTGGTTAAAGTACGTATGACATCTGACACAATAACTGGCGCCGAATCTCTGTTAGCTGTTAGTTATATAAAGCAAATAACTGAATAGTGAAATAATATTCCTGAATTTCAGTCTCGCGTCTTAGAGTTGTGAAGATTCAAATTGAGAAGRTTCAATACTCCATTTTCGACTTCAAAGCGAATAACCGCTGTCTTATTAAACAGCAGATTCTCTTACGCAAAAATAACAAAAGAAAGCACGAGAAAATGTTGTTAGTACAATAGCGCTAATTTTTTACATTTTCCCCAAGTAGAGGCTAACCCTGTATTCCCATAAGTCTCATATCAAGGTTTTATGGGAATACAGGCCGATTAGTCTCAACTCGGCGAAAATATTTTCGGCTATTAACGACATTTTCTTGTGCTCTCTTTTGTGTGGCATCTGTTGTCAAATAAAGCAGCGGTTTTTCGCTATGAATTCGAAACTGGAGAATAGCCGATTTGCATTATGGCGTCATTTACTACAACTACCAGAATGCTTTGCCACATTTCTTTTGTAATGCAATAAGTGCCAATTGTTTTATTAATCTCCAAGGGGATTAAAAATCTGAATAACAATGAAAATGCGCAAGGCTCTGTGGTAGTTGTAGTAAAGTTACGCCATAATGCAAATGTCCTATTACGTCGTCGAAGTCTTCATTGGATTTGCGAACTCTGAAGTAGTAGCTTGAAAATAGCTTCATGAAATTAAATTTATCGTAGTCATGTAGGGAACAACAATATTCCCAGATGACACATGCAAAAATCATAGTTCGAGAGTTTGCCCTATTGACTTAGTTTAATTTTCAAAGCATCGATTCTCTTCGATTTCAAAGAGCCAATCGTCAATCAATGTGAAAGATTAATGTTCGATTGACTACTCTGGGTTGTGTACAATCGATTTTTTGCGTCCTGTTGACCGGAAAGCTGTCTTTATCTGTCAGATAATAACAGAAAAGAGAGAGTCGCGCTCATATTGCAATCAAGGTCAAATATCGCAAAAATCAGTGTAAGATCCTGACAAAAAGCAATTGTAGACAACACGACAGTCACCACCAATAACTTTGWTTTTGTTGTTGTTGTTTAATTTCCTTTGTTTGGTTTGTTTGTCTGTTGTTGTTTTTTCAGCTGTCATGGCTCGCGCTCTCATTTTCAAAAACTCTCCTGTATATCTTCAACAACAATTGAATAGCATTRGATAAGAATAAGGCGACATTGAACGGGAAAAGGGGATTGAATAGAGAGCACAAGAATAGAGGAAAAGGKGTAAAATGATGAGGGGTGTCAACCTTTTTTGTCTGTGATCTTAGCTTTTAGATTTTGAACGGAAATAGATATAACCTGCTTTTTACTAAGCTCTATAAGATGCATACATGCTAAAAAAGTACAGTAGTTTTGTTCTTTTTCTTGGTTCTATGATTATTGCTATGCTTATATCCGATGTCGCATGACTTCATTCCGGCTTTTCTCTTTTCTTTGTTCTCGGCTTTAATTATATGTCTTTGCTTATGTCATAGTCAAAACGAGGCATAAAGTATCCGTTTGTACAGCTGTCAGGCTATGAGAGTTTTTGAATCAGACAAATGTCACACTCATCCGGCATAGTGAACATGRATACCTTAATACAGAGAGAATGTTCATATTGATCGTTTTCACCCATTCCCATGAGATTCAAAAGATAAAAGACCGGCGGCCATGTTGGAGGAATGAACAATAGATACTAATGAGAAATCATTTGTCAAAGTTCCTCCAAGATGGCTGCTGTGACGTAACCTGAAACGAAAACTTTTTGGGAGTAAGCTTTCAAGTACAAGATCATTTATAGTTGTGATGGGTTGAAACAATATCTAGATCTCGTTTTCAACTTCATCTTAATATTTTATTTTTTCTTCAACAAGTTACATACGAACGAGTTGTTTTGCTATCGCCAAACATGCTGTTTTTTTTTCTCCTAAATCTTGCTTTTTCTTCTACATTATTCATTAATTCGACTCCAAATTCTTTTCTTCGTGGCTTCCCGATCTAAACTGATGGCGGACTTTTTTTAAAGGGCGTCTGTTCAAGTTTTTCTTCTGACACTCGGCATCACCATGTACAAGAGCTTTCTCCCCCACTTTACCATCAAAGCAGGCATAGTAACTGAAAAGAAAATATACGCAAATGTATAAAATCAACGCTTTATATTTCATAGAATCACATATCTCTCTGTGACCAGGCCAAAGATCCTCAGTTTCTTGAGACCCTCCAAGGGGATTGGTTRTCTATGGCATAAGATACAAATGTATGGTGGGAGTATGTCACTCCTCAACAACAAAACACTACTTGCTACGCAATCACTAAACACTGCAACACTAMACACTGTTRTGGGGCGATGGACTGTGAGCCGTGAGGCGGGGCACAGGGAGCCCGACACAAATAACGGCTGCTAGGAGACTAYATACGAGCAAGACGTATACCATAAAACAATATGATGCAATTTGCAAAAACAAGCATGAAAAAAGAACAGCGTGCTAAAAAATTGTAGTGACTTTACACGTTATTAATTTGTTTGACAAACCTCTCAGCGCTGTCAAGATATCGAAGAGTAACCCTCCTTAGATTCCATTTTGGGACGAAGAATAAACCTGATTGACTAACTTTAATTACTAATATGTCACCAATATCTTCCTTTAACTGTACGAGAAACTGTTCTTCGTTGCCCTCTTTTAGCTTCCTGGAATAACACAATTCCAATAATCGGTAATTAAATGTATAAAGGCCGGGGCACACTCGCCGCTACGCTACCCGATCCGCCATGGCAGTAGAAAGTTCTTCTCTTTTTAGTCCCTTGTCCCTGGATACACATGTTTCAAAAAACGTTGTCGGGGAGATCTGCGAACGGCGATTGTCGAAGGGAGATTGCACGACCGAATGGAACTATGGTTACACTGTTTTGAGCAAACAAAATTTCACTTATTGGATTCACCATACATAGAAATTGAGACTAAATGAAGCCAATGTTTACCACAGACCATCTTACAGTGTAAATCAGTTGTCATTGCCTTTCAACTAGCAAAACCCATAACTACTTTCGGTCGTTCAATTGGCGTTCGACCATTATATATTATTATGGATATTCGCATTTTTATTCGACAACCTTTTCAGTTTAAATTGCTATATATCGCTAGTAAACGCATGAAATAGAAGAACKTTATAKTGCTTAGAAAGGAGGTCATGCTTGGAGGTTAAGAGGTCCTGGGTTCGAATCCCAGCAAGCACAATAACTTTTCCGAATTTATTTCCAAGAGATGTTCGGCCAGATTTACTTCCTTTTTAGCACTATATCTTTCCACTTCTTTTATTTCATCTATTCCTAGTGCCACATCAAGATATTAGTATTGGGCCAATGRTTTAGCTCTACTAAGATCATTGTATTCATTCTGATCACTTTTTTGTAGGTCGCTCTGAAAGATAAATTTACCCTTTGAAATTGATTGTCCCTGAGTTTCCTTTGCTTCCATAGATGACAACCTTTGGATCACGTCCACCTCGGCCCCCTTCGGTAGTGCCAGTCATGAATGTAACGTACANAGTTAATGGCGTTATATCCCATTTCTGGACAGTTTTTTCCGCTATCTCCACATTCATCCAAGAAGCCACGTTTGAAGTCATCCCAGGATTTTGAGCGATATGAACGGAATTTACACGCGCTGGATTTGATGGACTCGATGAAAAACTGGTGAGCTCGGTAATGCGAGCACTTGACCGCCACTATCRAAATACAAAGTTAAGAGGGATGTGAGCAGTATTTTAGATCATAATAATAATAGTCAAATGGTTGTCGATTCTATTCATCTGTATCTATATACGGTTACCCCGHTAGAACAGAGAGATTTCTAASCCTATTCAGAATGGGCATTTTTGTAATCTGTGATTTGAGAAACTAACATTTAATGAATGAAAAAGTGAGTTTTGAAGTGTTTCTGATGATTCTAATGAAAGTTTCTCCCATTTGAAAAAATAACCAAAAGCTACCCACCCCTCCTCCAAATTTTTTGTGTCAAAAAATTATTATGGTATTGTAGCGTCAGCAATGAGAGCATGTTCAAATAGGTAAAAATGCATGATAAAACAAGAAATGAGCTCTAAAAATAAAAAAAAAAATAAGCATATTTTACTTTTTTTGAAAACCCATGTGTCAAAAACTGGTTGCCATGGCAACATAGATAACAATATCAATACAAAATTTACATCAAAATCTACCAGATACATTTTAGCAAAAGTTCGAAAATCTCAGAGCTGTAGCTGTTTKGGTTCGAAAGTTATTGGCATTTTGCTCGGAGGGGGACCTAAAAAGGCTCCCCCCAATTCTGAATATTTTTCTGCCTAGTTAACACGGGCACTGCATGAAACAACTATCATAAATTGTATATATGAATGTAATCGCAAACAATTCAGTCTCTCGAATACTACCTCGCTAATATGTTATTCGACAATTTTATGTTAGTAATAAAGTTACAATTTTAGGCGTCATGCTTCCGTTCGAATAACTGTTTATCGTGTGCAAATGTATTTTGTCCATGGTTGTAGTTCTTACGTTTGCCGCATCCAGGCTGTGCTTTKCCACCATTAGGCCAAAAGTCAAACGTTCCACTCTCTTCATGGGTACCAAATGGGTAARCTTTACTGACAGTATCAGTATGAATGACATCGACGAAATCAGCGTCAGTGGCGTCCAGCCTTCTATCAATGCCCTGTCCTTGGAATTCGGGTCTGGCTGGGTCTAGTCCTAGGATAAAAGGTATACATTATACATTTGTTTTTAAACCAAATGGAAAACTGGATTGATTCAAATGTTGTGTTTTTTATTCCGCGCGCGCAGGGATAAAAAAGGGTCCAGGTCTGGACTACGGTTTTTGGAGTGAAATGTTTCTGAGGAAATTGTAAAGTGTATAGCAGCACCTTGACTATGTGTCTCTATGTACAATATCAAGACGGTGAAAATATGACGTCGTTAAAATCGAATCTATGAAACATTTAATACTCAACATCATTCAATATAGCGGCCCTACATGCCACCTAGGCGTAATAGGAATGATGATGATCATTCAATATATTACCTGTAATACGACCAATCTTTGTTCCTTTTGTTTGATCATAAAAACTTTTCCCAGCAAAACCAGCAACATGTGCCCCCAAACTGAACCCGATCACGTGGAACTTGTCTGGAGTGCTTGTGTCGTCTTGGTCGTTGAGGAACATGAGAAACTTTGCTACCTGTGAAGTTTATATGATAAATGTTAATGAGATAATTGGGGCTGGGGGTGGGGCTGGGGGTGGGGCTGGGGCAAGACGTACCTCTGGTCCAACCAATCGTGTGTTGGATGCGGCTCGTTCGTACGTTAACCAGCCCGCTGCGGCTTTTTCCCATCCAACTGCAATAACATTGGCATCTGGTTCTTTGTCCAGTAAAGCATTTTTCATGTCTGTGACCCATGTATCTTTAGGATTGCCTTTAATTGGAAATGATGACTGAATTTAATTGGATTTTGTATTGCGAACTACATATGTATTCCACCAATAAAAAGGACCAGAATCTCCCTCTATTCATGCTTTGCTTTGTTCGCTTTTAGTGGACGTCCCTTTATTCATGATGCTTTGCTAGCGTTAACTGAAGAAAATGCGCATGCACGGTTTTGAATTGTTAGTCCTCTTATTGACATTCTCTTGACGTCATAAAATGTTCAAAACTCAAGTGGTCTGCAAAGTTTTGAACATTTTATGACGCCAATAGTGTGTCAATAAGAGGAAATACAACTCAAAACCGTGGGCAATTTGTTTTTTACCTCATTAATAAGTCTAAAAATTAGCGAAAATCATTCTTTCCTTTATATTTTTGAGTCAATTTTGTATTGTTTCTTAATTCTACTCACCAGTCCATCCGTGAATTATGAGGAAGGTCTTTGMACCAGGTTTAAAAGGAGTGTTTATTAGTAAATCCTTATCACTATCATCAAGTATTGTATAGGCCTCACGGTTTCCCTTTGTGTACAATAAATATTCTGACAGTTTCTTCAATTTGGGTGAAACGCGTGGTGGTTTGATGCCCGGATCGTTGCTGTTTGAACCGTACCGTTCATGGCCCACCTCCTCTGCACCCACCTCCTCTGCAGAAGTCACAGCTCAAATGATTCATAAACAATATTTTAATGATCTGATGATAATGTTTAAGGTAACGACAATGAGGAATTCCAAAGGAAACCATAACAGACAGCCACTACGTCTTTCAATGGCAACGTAGTTTCAGTAAAATTAACAATGGCTACGACAGTGACAAAAACAAAGGCAATGGCAAATGCAAAAATCAATCGAAATGGCACTAACTTTGGACATGACAACGATACAATCTTGATATAGATTATGACAATGATAATGGTTAAATGAAACATAGCAATGGCGTTATCCCATCGAAAAAAATCAACGTGAAGAGAAAAGGGTCAGAAAAGAACACTAATGAGCTTCAACAAAGGATACACTCTTGTCAATGATAATGATAATTGTAGTTTTTAAAGTTTAGGGGTTGAGGGGGTGGGGGATGTTGACGTCGAAGCAGTTTTTTAAAATGAGGGTCAGTCTTCTTCCTCATTTCCAGCCGGTCATCACCTGTGGTCATCACAAGTAACCCAATCGTATCTCGAGCTGAAAATTGCTATTAAATTTTCTCTTCGTATTTTAGCTTAAACAAAATGGCAGTCTCATTCTTACAAAAAGTKGGGCATCTGAAGCCCTCCTTCTCCGTGGGCCTACTGAATAGCAAAGGGATTAACAAATGACAATCGATAATTACTATAAAGATCGCAGAATGAACGCCAACACTGAGATGCTAGTGCTAGTGATAATAAATGGTACGTTTACTTACCAATAAACTGTAAAAGAAGCAGAACAGCCGAAAAACGGAGACAGAAAGACAGCATTTCTGAAAGCATATATCACAAAAAATGGAGTTAGCTCCCTCTTTAAACTCACAATTCCTTCTATTTTCGCAGTTACGGTATATCACAAAAAGATGTATGGAGCAATGGTGGATGAAAATTTTTCGAACGGTGATTTCACGACAAAAAATCAAAAAWTATTTGGTTATCTACAATACGTTTTTCCATATCATTCGAAATAACTACGGATTATAGATTTCTTCATGGAAAGTGCTGACGTACGGGATTTTCGCACGAGTTGCTGCGAAAATCCCGTACAAAAGCACTTTCCATGATGACGTTTTTTTATTATATACATACTGAGATTTATAGCATCTTCTTGAGCGACTTTTGTGCATTTTAATGACGGTTTTGTCTTACAAACTCGCTAGATTATAAGTTATAGTTGCGATCAAACTACGCTACAATTTAAATGCTGAATTGGATAATTATGAATAAATCACATCAATAACGTAGTTTATAGTCAATTTTCATTCACTGAATATGATAAAAATAACGAAAAGCTACACATTAGAGGAAAGTGCAACAAGCCTACAAACCTTAATGAATGAAATTGTTTAATTAGTACTTTCTATCGCCGTCGCGAATCAACTTTTATGGACGCGTTTTATTCATATAATAGTGTTCTGTTTTCGATACTTCTGTTGAAGATGAAGTACATCTAGGACGTATATCTAATACTGAGAACTTTGCAAGTAAAATACAAATATAAAATACAGCTTCTTTGAACAGTAAGTTCTACTGCTGCTGGCGATGGTAGTTGACTTGACAAGCGCGGGTTTCAGTTTTAAACATCGAAGTTGTGCTGGAACTGAGTGAGTTTTTTTTGGTCTTGGGAAATACACTGGGAATATTTGCATTAATTCTTTTAGATGTCGATTAAAACTTGAAAATATATCTTAAGGACCTGCTGGTTCAGAAACTTTCAGTGTCTTTAGGTTTCACAATCATAATGAAGTCGCAGAGATGTCAGAGATGTATTCGTTCAGCTATTTGCTTTCGGTCTCTTGGAATTGGATTTCTTTGCTTAAGACTTTTTTTTTCTCGGCGGAAATTCATCGAGTAGCTTTTTCATCACTCGCCGTTTTAGCTGTTGAATTTTTGTTTGTCTCCTGACAATATTAGTTGTCAATTCACTTTCTAAAATGCCTTGTCTCTAGTCATAAGAAGCTTGAAGTTGTTGATTGAATTCCGTGGTACGTTTTCACAAGTCTTTCCTGATTGGACGAAACGCATTTCGCACGTGTGAGAAATTCGTTTCGCTCCTATGATTGGCTAGTTAATATTTTGAAACGGATTTTCAAATAGAAATATATGTGAGAAAATCTCAGTATGTATATAATAAAGGTGATTTCATATATAAGATATCATTCAAAATAACTACAGATAGGTGATTTTAGGTGATTATCAAATTCATTACTAATTCATAAGATAAACACAATAGAAAATCATTGCCTGACCGCATCTTTATATGAGCAAGAGATTTGTTCTGATTTTCATACGACTTTAACTTCGATTTTCTCTTAAAAATGATATTTTATCCTGAAGTTTTTTTTGAAATATGTTTTAGCTTATGTTGGAATTTGATAAGCAACATAAAATATTCGCGTCCGACCTTTATGGGCTATAAAACTGCTCGCTTGCAGCTCGCAGTTTTAAATGCCCATAGAGGTCTCCCGCTCATATTTTATATAATTACTAAAAATTCATAGTTACAGCTTATAGTTATGTAATAGATATGTATAACAATTTCCAATCCCCGTTGTTCTTTCCAACGGCAACATTTCTTGAAATTACGATGGACTACGATAATGACATGTAATGATACATTTTCGTTTGAACAGTCATCATTTTTCTATATTACAATTAGTCATATAATAGTCTGTTTCAGTTAATTGTCATACAGTAATTACCGTTTTTGGAAGTAGAAAATATATCAGTGTCAGCTCTTCTGCGATTTACCAATGAACTTCCACCTCGGTCGACTCCAATAGCAGTGTGTGAGGTGAATCACTAGTATCGTATTGTTATCCCTCTTTCACATTACCTCATTATGATATCAGATATCTGTTACCGCCCATTATTTCATGATTGCATGGCTTTTAGTAAATGTAAAAAACAGGTACAACTGGGTTTTTTATTTCAACTCTTCATCTCTTTTGTCATTTTTACTGATACAAATTGGTTCGTTTAAAGTGATTTAACGTGGAGAATTGATTTTTTAACGTGCTTTATACACGAGCGATTAGATTTATCTTCGAGTGTAGAAAGACGACATGAAAACGAAGATCTCTCACGAAAGATCGTAGGGAATTAACGGGTGAGAGATTTTCCGCAAATACAGGAAGATGAAATCAGTTTCTCCAAGCGACCATGTAATTCTCTCTTTATCATATAATCGTCCATTAAAGAAAATATTTTTAAAAACAACTTCTTGAAAAATAAAGCAAAAAAGAACAAAACCAACAATTAAAATATGTTTTTAGATTATGATATCATTTATTGCTTTCTCGTTTTGTATAACCTCATAGCAAAAGTGGAAATATCACGTTTCCAGCTTTCTAATATGATTGGCTGTTAACTTGAACCGTATTCTGTGAGCTGATGATCATATTCGAGAAAAGAAGAAAAATGTTTAGAAATAGTGTAGAAAAGCTATGTATATCACTTTTGAATTTCCAAATCGCTCTACAATTTAGTGGATATATTAGTAGTTAAAACTCGTAGAGATCGGATAACTCATATTTTGATTGAATTATGATATTGTTAGCCTGTACACGACGATCTCGTCACGATTGTGTGGCTACTGTAAACACTAGAGCTGGGGGATATCCTATATCAACCTGTTCACGATCGCTTACTACGCATAATCCTTGCTGTCATGTGCTTTTTTTGCTGAACACAAGTTATCGAAAATAAATAAATTGTTGTAAATCGACCTGACAGGAACAATTGCAAAGTATAGATGGATTGAAATTTGGTTTATTTTCTCGGCTAAAGAGAGGACCGCGGAGGAGGCAATTATCGGCATTCATGCTTTTGAAAATGAATGTACAAGCGTCAAAGATAGGAGTGACTATGTTAAATTGTATAGAAATGAAAGAAAGTTATAGTGCTTAGAAGGAGGCAATTCCGGGAGAAGTCCCTTAGGAATAAATTCGGAAAAATTAATTTCCGACCTCGCTGGGATTCGAACCTTCGGATTTGTACACCGATGCTCTACCAGCTGAGCTACAAGGCCAGACTGGGAGCAGGTCGGGGTGAAATAGATGTTAAGGTTGCGGTAATAGAATAATGTAAAGATATGAATATGAAGACCGCATGGCACTATGATAAACACGATATAGAAATGAAAGAAAGTTATAGTGCTTAGAAGGAGGCAATTCCGGGAGAAGTCCCTTAGGAATAAATTCGGAAAAATTAATTTCCGACCTCGCTGGGATTCGAACCCACGACCTTCGGATTTGTACACCGATGCTCTACCAGCTGAGCTACAAGGCCAGACTGGGAGCAGGTCGGGGTGAAATAGATGTTAAGGTTGCGGTAATAGAATAATGTAAAGATATGAATATGAAGACCGCATGGCACTATGATAAACACGATATAGAAATGAATGAAAGTTATAGTGCTTAGAAGGAGGCAATTCCGGGAGAAGTCCCTTAGGAATAAATTCGGAAAAATTAATTTCCGACCTCGCTGGGATTCGAACCCACGACCTTCGGATTTGTACACCGATGCTCTACCAGCTGAGCTACAAGGCCAGACTGGGAGCAGGTCGGGGTGAAATAGATGTTAAGGTTGCGGTAATAGAATAATGTAAAGATATGAANTATCGACTGTTGAGGTCAGACTCTGCCGCTTATTGCTCATCTGAGTATTTGGGATAGCGGAAAGTTTTCTGTTAAAGGCGAAGAGATCTCAAGTTATACGATCGACASCTCTTCTACATACGAACCAGTACTCTAAACAATCGTATCATAGAACAGCAATAACTGCCCGGGATTTACTGTAGTTTTTTAGTAATTCTTTGATATTCGAGRCCTTTTGTTATTCCAAAACATTCATCTGTGTAAGAGCATGTATTAGGACATTGGTTTAGGTCATAAAGGTTGGTGTATCGAGCCAAATAGTTCATTTTCCTTGGCGAGATATAAACCGATACTTTGTAGCTGACTACGTGGCTGTCTGATTCTGAGTTGCATAGATATTTTCTAATTTGATGAGGGATTCTGTCTCTTCTGGTTCAAGAAAACAATGCTATTCACAGATGAGTATTCCTAGATGAAGATCATTGAATCGATCATGAATGGTTATAGAGCGGGACCTTCTTGTTTGTGAAGATCGCTCGCCACATGGCGCCCAGCTGTCTGATTTTTATACTGTAGTATACTTGACCTTTAAATTACTACAATATTCTTACAATGTTTCACGCGAACTATCAGAGTGAACGATCAAAACGATTTGATTCTACGCTTTTAAAGATTTGTCAAAAATTATTGTATATCTAGTTCCTTCAAAAACTGCTAAATATTACATGAAAAGTAATCAACAAGGAGTTACTTTCACAAATGTTTTCTCTTAATATAGTTTGATTTCAAATCACTTTGTGATTTATCAGTATAGATGAACTGCATGCCTTTGGTAGCACTATTCTTTACATCTAAACCAGACYCTCCTTAGAGCGTCAACTCGGTCGAACTATTTTTGAAAATTGAGAAAGACAGTATATTACATGGTTGGTCAAACACAAGAAAAGTTTTAAATGAGACAGCACTTTTCAACACATTTAGGGCACGAGTACACCCTGATGTCAGGGTCTAGTTATGATATCAGATATCTGTTACCGCCCATTATTTCATGATTGCATGGATTTTAGTAAATATAAAAAACAGGTACAACTAGGTTTTTTATTTCAACTCTTCACCTCTTTTGTCAATTTTACTGACAAATTAAATTGGTTCGTTTAAAGTGATTTAACGTGGAGAATTGATTTTTTAACGTGCTTTATACACGAGCGATTAGATTTATCTTCGAGTGTAGAAAGACGACATGAAAACGAAGATCTCTCACGAGTGATCGTAGGGAATTAACGGGTGAGAGATTTTCCGCAAATACAGGAAGATGAAATCAGTTTCTCCAAGCGACCATGTACTTCTCTCTTTATCGTGTAATCGTCCATTAAAGAAAATATTGTTAAAAACAACTTCTTGAAAAATAAAACAAAAAAGAACAAAACAAACAAACAATTAAAATATGTTTTTAGTTTATGATATTATTTATTGCTTTCTCGTTTTGTATAACCTCATAGCAAAAGTGGAAATATACGTTTCCAGCTTTCTAATAGTGAGCCGTATTCTGTGGGCTGATGATCATATTCGAGAAAAGAAGAAGAAAAAACGTTTAGAAATAGTGTAGAAAAGCTATGTATATCACTTTTGAATTTCCAGATCGCTCTACAATTTAGTGGATATACTAGTAGTTAAAACTCATAGAGATCGGATAACTCATATTTTAATTGATAGCCTGTACAGGACCATCTTGTCACGATTGTGTGGTTACTGTAAACACTAGAGCTGGATATCCTATATCAACCTGTTCACGATCGCTTACTACGCATAATCCTTGCTACACAATTATTGATGTCATGTGCTTTTTTTGCTGAACACAAGTTATCGAAAATAAATAAATTGTTGTAAATCGACCTGACAGGAACATTGCAAAGTATAGATGGATTAAATTTGGTTTAAATTTGGCGATTGGTGAGTGGGGGGGGGGGGGGGGGGGGGTTACCGCGGAGGTGGCAATTATCGGCATTCATGCTTTTGAAAATGAATGTACAAGCGTCAAAGATAGGAGTGACTATGTTAAATTGTGTCTGTAGTCACATGCAATGATCAGTATCTTNGAAAAAACGTTTAGAAATAGTGTAGAAAAGCTGTGTATATCACTTTTGAATTTCCAGATCGCTCTACAATTTAGTGGATATATTAGTAGTTAAAACTCTTAGAGATCGGATAACTCATATTTTAATTGATAGCCTGTACACGACCATCTCGTCACGATTGTGTGGTTACTGTAAACACTAGAGCTGGATATCCTATATCAACCTGTTCACGATCGCTTACTACGCATAATCCTTGCTACACAAATATTGATGTCATGTGCTTTTTTTGCTGAACACAAGTTATCGAAAATAAATAAATTGTTGTAAATCGACCTGACAGGAACATTTGGTTTAAATTTGGCGATTGGTGAGGGGGAGGGACCGCGGAGGTGGCAATTATCGGCATTCATGCTTTTGAAAATGAATGTACAAGCGTCAAAGATAGGAGTGACTATGTTAAATTGTGTCTGTAGTCACATGCAATGATCAGTATCTTTGAAAACGGAAAATTCCGGGCCTTCCCCGGTTTAACTAGCTATAATTTTCACTATTCACCGACTCCACCTGTACAATATTTGAACACCAGAAGTACATAACCAGAAGTGTCCATCTCGCTTATAATATCGACACCATCAGATGTCCCGATAATCTATTTTTAGACAACCAATCACAAAGCGCGCACATATTACACGGCACCTGATTGGTCCTTGTTGATCTACTTTGAGAGCGGACAAGAAAAAGGAAAATGCAGTCGATGGAGAGGCGAACGAACTAAAGCTTGCATTACGAGAATTTTACACCTTTTGTGGAACAACCATTTCAGAATTTGATCGAAAACATTCTTTACTATATGAGCAATGTAGCGAAGATAGTTCGAGAGCAATATGGTCTGCGAAAAACAGGGGAAAAGTTCAGACAAAGATGAAGAAAAATGTAAAACAGTGTGCAAAGAAAAGTAGTCTAAAGTAGCTTTCTTACAGTCAAATAGAGTTGAAAAACGTCGCCTCCATTGACTAAATTTTTCCTTTTGAAAGCCAAATAAATACGAAATTGTTAAGAGCGTCCTTTTTGACAAATTTCTTTTCCTTTCGTCGTCTCCTTTGCCCTTTTATTTTCGTGTAGAAGCGAACTT